GGAAGCTCTCCAGCTAATGGAGCTGGATACAACATGCTCAAAGGAACAAATAAATCAAGCATTCAAACATGCGTGCAAGAGATGGCACCCAGGTACCGTGATCTCCTATCACTCTATACCAAATGAACTTATTTTTAAAAGGAATAATAACCACTATAATCATCATCAGTTAATGGGGCCTATAAACTGTAAGGGGGATGTCTTATCAATTTTCTTTCACAGAGGGATGACCTTCCTCATTTTTAGCATGTCTGGAAAGAGTGTATCACCGTTGAAAGATGTATTCTTTTAGTTAGATTTTTTATAAAGGGTCACATAAGATCGAGAAGCATATCAAAACTACTCTGCAAACTCAAGTGTGTGCCAGGCACACACTTCCTGGTGCATGCCTGCAGGCACACACTTCCTGGTGCATGCCTGGCAGGCACACACTTCTTTTCTGCATGCCTGGCAGGCACACACTTCCTGGTGCATGCCTGCAGGCACACACTTCCTGGTGCATGCCTGCAGGCACACACTTCCTGGTGCATGCCTGGCAGGCACACACTTCTTTTCTGCATGCCTGGCAGGCACACACTTCCTGGTGCATGCCTCAGGCACACACTTGCTTGTATGCATGCATAAGCGACGGCAAGTGTGTGCCTGAGGCATGCACCAGGAAGTGTGTGCCTGCCAGGCATGCAGGAAAGAAGTGTGTGCCTGCAGGCATGCACCAGGAAGTGTGTGCCTGGCACACACTTGAGTTTGCAGAGTGGTGGCATTCCTATTCCTGCACTGGATGATTGGCTAAACTGATTGTGTTTCTTTCACAGGGCTCTTCCCAATGTGGGTGCGGGTGCCGGCCCTTCAGGAGCGGCCCCGGCCCGAAGAAGACTGCCACCAAGACCGTAAGGTAAAAGTCTCGATTACACCTGCATGGAGAAAGTTGGTCCTATCAGTTGGTTTCAGTTGTCACTAGGTGAACTATTCGGAATACTCCGTGGTATTTATCTATTTTTCTTGTTTTAGATTCAGTTAACCATCCACCAGCCGTGCACCCACCAGCCGTGCACCCTCCAACAAACCTGGCCCCTCCAAGAGCCTAAAGGTTCTAAGTTATTTAGGCCTCCAACGCACGTCCGCCAGCAAGCGCCAGCGGGAGGAGGAGGGAGAGGAAGAGGAGGGAGAGGAGGAGGAGACGGAGGAAGAAGAGGATGCACGGACACCCACCCCTCCACCTCGCAAAAGGCGTCCCCGTCGTCGCGACTACGATGACCCACCCCCCGGTGTTTCGCCTCTTGCGGTCGAACGATCAATTTTACATGTACACAGCCCTTATATTGTTTTAATCGTATCCTCCCGTTCTTTGCAATGCACCATTCCAATTTTCGAAATTCAAAATATTAAAACTAGTTGTCGCATGAGCATGGCTTCTGGTGCTGCGTTTCCGCCTTCAAGCACAATGCTGGATTTAACTTGATAGGGCGGCTGCTTGAGCGTTGCAAATGGTAAACTAGTTCGCTCAGAACCTTCCATAGTTAAATCAAAATTAATATTTTCGTCCATTAAACCATGCACGTGTTAATCATGAATCAGAGGCCTTTTTTAAAGTTTCCCATTGGGCTCTGCATGTCCGCAGAGGGTGCCCGGGGTTTAAGGCCCAAAAGTGAGTACCCAGCTACTGAGTTGTGCGGAAATGCTTGTGCCCGCTCGTTTGCTTTCATAACCAATTCGTCCGTTACAGCGTGGACAATTGTGTAAAACTCACCTGAAGATACCTATCAAGTATTTGGACAGCAAGGTAAAGTGTCTCTTGAAACAAGCCGAATTCCAATTGGACACCTACAAGCCAATCAACCAATACTGCTCGCATTCCAGGTGAAATAAATTGTTCACGCAAGAAGCGTTTTTTGATAGGATACTTCTCCTACAGACACAGGAAAAAAATGTAAGTGACAAATAGGTCGTCGTGTGCATGCAGTTTCATTACATTACGCAGCTTGTCATGAGATTTTCATTACATGTCATTAAATTTTTCAAAAATAATTAAGCATGACTGAATTTTTTTGGATTTGTCCACAGATGAAAACAACCCATTTTTTGTTGCCGACTAACTCTTCGACGTGTGTGTTGCTGTGTGCCGTGGTATGTTTGGATGTAACATTTCGCGAATGGATGAAGATCTGGGATTTGAACGTCAGATGATCAATGATGTCAATGGACTAATTCAAGAGACACTTTCTTTATTTTCCACTGTGAAATTGGCGAGCTTTAGGTAAAAGTGACCAAATTCCTGTCCTTCAACAGGCTTATCAAATGACCAGGTATTATTACATAGTATTGCAATGCGGCTTCTAACCAGCACAGATGTATTCTGCCCAATTCCAAACAATCCGAATGCAGTCCCTCAAGAGGTAATCGTTCTCTCATGAAAATAGAGCATGAATCACTACCACATGGGCTGATTGGACTAATGATATTCTTGCTTTATTGATTGAGATGGTTAATTTGTCATGGCATTGAGTGGAGTCAAGTGTGCACCATATGTACTTACGATTGAGCGTTATCTAGGAATGAAAAGATATTTTTTACGGGGTTTCAAGAGACACTTTCGAAGACACGGCTCGCAACTGAACTAGGCGTCGAGGAGCTCAATACTACCCCACAATTTGTGTAAGTCTCGTTACCCCTGTGCTTGTTTTTTAAGTGGCTCGTGTCTCACCGTCCGTGTTCCTTGCAGGAAAATCCAGAGACACACTACAAACCTAACTGTCTACTAAATACACACTTACAAATGCGTGCTTGCAAGTACAACTTGCCCCGCGGGGCGGGGCGGGGCGGGGCGCGCGCGGCAAAGGACTTCCGAAGGCTGTATGTGGGTCCTCATAAACATAAACACATAAACATTCTGTTGTGGTCATACAGTTATATGAAAAAGAATATTTGTTTTATAACATTAAAAAAAAAACTTAAATTGTCCTTGCTCCGAAGTTGGTAGCGCGTATTCAGTTTGACTGTCGCCCCGGTTTTTGCTCCAATTGTTCCGACACTTCGCTAAAATCTCGGTTTTCAGTCCCGTATTTTAAATTCTACAGATATAAGTGATTTTGACTCATCATGGCATTACAAGAATTTTAAGTATAAAACTGCATCAAGGTTCGTTTTGTAAGCGCTAAAGACGACTTTCAGAACGCTATTATTGTTCATTCCAGCGGGTCGTCGGCGTCCAGTCTAAAACGCAAGAAATTTGAACCATTCCAACCTCCATTCCCAGTGGACTATTTAATGTTCGATTCAGATTATGTGCCACTGAACTTTGAATTCCTGTCAAACATCATCGAAGAGGCGACTGAGTGCATTGAAAGCAAACATCAACCTCAGGCAAGGCGTAGGAAAGGAAAACGAGGCGCGCCTGTGAAGGCCCTACAGGCCAAGAGAATCAAAGTGAGTTTATTTGGTTCGAAGGTGACTGGGTTAAGTTAGTGTATTGATTGGTCCGTCGATATCTGTGAATAAGTTGTTGTCAAGAGTACAAATCGCTAAGTGTCGGAGCGTCGTAGAGGTTATGTCCACTTCCCGCTCGACCTGTGCCTAAACCATGTTCTTATCCCTTGTCTGTTTTAGCGGCTGCTCACAACATTGGGGCATGACTGGCCGTGGCCTGAAATTAACAGTGCAGATGAAAGAGGCATGCGAATGTTGGCCTACGTTCAACTTAAACTGGCTGAAAACCCGTTGTGGAAAGCGGTGGACCTTGAAACTGAATTCAGCGTGGAGGTGTCGCCTTGGTTAAAGAACGCGTTTGTCAACTGGCCTATGGTTGAGGACTTCATTCAATTGCCACAAGGTACGTTTTAAACGAGCTTTTAGGTCACCTGTGCGGTCCTGTTTTTGAGATAACTTACCTGGCTGTCATTCACCTATTTTGCAGCTGGAGATAATTTCCCGGCCCTCATATTTCAGAATCCTGACACCGGCGACAAGGATGACATGCAGGGACGACACAGTGAAAGTACAAACGAAGGGCAAAATCATGGCGAAGACCACAGTAATATAGAGGATAGGGAAGAGGATGATTCTTCCAGAAGCAAAGAAGGGTCAGACAGCAGTAGTGAAGAAGACTCTGAAGAGGAACATGACCGCATCCAAAATGCGTTCCGGCACAAATTTAAGGGCCGTTTTAAAACCGAACTTCAGTTGAGTTTTTGACACTGCACATTCCGTACCGGAGAAACGAACTTGCTGCATGTTGCGTGTGACATCGTGTTTCCCGACGCAGCCGCGGCGCGTTATTCTACCGGCGTCGTCGGGGTTTTTGCCGCGCCGCTGGTGCAGGCCGAGCGAACGGTGCCTTTCGTCGCTCTGTCTCGCTCGCCGCGACGCACAGTGGGCCAGAAGACCGGTGGCGGCGGCCAAAACTCTAGACGCGTTTAGAGCTTCAGTCTGTTAATGGGACTCGAACCGAACGTGTGACCCCATCAATCGAATGCGACGGCACGTCCAGCGAGTGCGACAGGGCCGGCCGCCGCCGAGGGCCGGGGCGAGTGGGCCTGCATTATTAGTCGAACTCTCTCTCTCTCTCTCTCTCTCTCCTCTCTCTCGTCGTGTGCATGCAGTTTCATTACATTATGCAGCTTGTCATGAAATTTTCATTACATGTCATTAAATTTTTCAAAAATATTTAAGCATGACTGATTTTTTTTGGATTTGTCCAGGATCTAAACTGAGCTTGACCCTTTCGCGGTGTTGCAGATGTCGGGACAGGCTGTCCCATTCTCCCCGCACGGGCCAAAGGCCCTGGAAGCCGTGCTGGCGGCGCGGCTGGAGCTCTGCCCGGAAGAGTGGGAGGCGGAGGCCGTGGAGGCAAAATGCTCCACGGCCAAGCATGCCTCCTCCCGAGAGACCACCGAGAAGGGATCAGCCAGAACAAGACTCAAGTCGTTACAACAGGCGTTTAGGAAGCAATTTGCAACAAGGTTAGGTTAGGTAAAGAAAGAAAAGGCAGCAAATTTTCAAAAATCCTACCACAGAGAAATGTAGAGGGCAGCAGCAGCAATAAGAGAGGGCCGAACGTGGCAGAGAGAATACGCCATCATGGCAAGTTCAAGAAAGAACTTGGAAAAGCAGTGATGAATGGGCTTGGCCTGCAGCAGAGAAGCGAATATGCCAGACACAAGTATCTTTGTTGAAAATTGGGTGAAACGGGACAGGAATAATGGACAATTGTGTAAAACTCACCTGAAGATACCTATCAAGTATTTGGACAGCAAGATAAAGTGTCTCTTGTAACAAGCCGAATTCCAATTGGTCACCTACAAGCCAATCAACCAATACTGCTCGCATTCCAGGTGAAATAAATTGTTCACGCAAGAAGCCTTTTTTGATAGGATACTTCTCCTACAGACACAGGAAAAAAATGTAAGTGACATATCTAAGAGCAAGAAAAATATACAAAGAAGGGGAAAAAGTTACCTCTAGGGAGTACAGGTACTCATAGAATTCGAATACGTAGTCCGCAACAAACAATGGGTTGTTTTCATCTGCTTTGTCATCGTCCTCAATGAAATCTTTAGGCTGCACTGCAGCATCTTCCTCGGCAAACAGAATCCAGGTAATGTCGGTTGGGGCAGGCAGTAGAACCGATGCCACTGAGGTGTTACTGAACCAAATAGGTCGTCGTGTGCATGCAGTTTCATTACATTACGCAGCTTGTCATGAGATTTTCATTACATGTCATTAAATTTTTCAAAAATAATTAAGCATGACTGAATTTTTTTGGATTTGTCCAGGATCTAAATTAAGCTTGGCCCTTTCGCGGTGTTGCAGATGTCCGGAAAAAGAGTGCCCTGGTCACCGCACAGCCCAGCCGCCCTCAGGGAGGTGATGGCGGCCCGGCTGAAGCAGTGCCCGGAGGAATGGGTTGCGGAGGCCGTGGAGACATTTTGCTCCACGGCCAAGCATGATTCCTTCCGGGCGACTGCGGAGGCCGGGTCCGCGCAGTCACGGGTTGGGTCTATACAAAAGGCTTTTCGAAACCGCTACAAGGGAATGTGCAAATTTCGCTTATGTTTAACCCTGACGGGATTTAAATCTGTCTCTCTCTCCTCTCTCCCTCTCCTCTCTCTCTCTTCTCTCTCGTCGTGTGCATGCAGTTTCATTCCATGTCATTAAATTTTTCAAAACTATTTAAGCATGACTGATTTTTTTTTGGATTTGTCCAGGATCTAAATTAAGCTTGGCCCTTTCGCTGTGTTGCAGATGTCCGGACGGGTACGGGTACCCTGGTCGCCCCACGGCCCAGCCGCCGTCCGGGCGGTGCTGGCGGCCCGGCTAAAGCAGTGCCCGGAGAAGTGGGATGCGGAAACCGTGGAGACCATTTGCTCCTCGTTCCGGGCGACTGTGGAGGCCAGGTCGGCGCCGCCGTCCAGGGTTGGCTCAATTCAAAAGGCGTTTAGAAACAAATTCAAAGGCCGCTTTACAACCGCACTTCAGGCGCGTTTGGCTTGACAGTGCTCCGCAATGTGCCGTCAAATCCGAGGAACGCCAAGGGCTTGTCTTTGGCGTGGCGGGGCGGGGCGGAACGTGGCGCGGCGCGCATGGCAAAGGACTCCCGAAGGCTGTGTGGGTCTTCCTTCCCTCGCGTGCAGGCACTGCGAGGCACTGCCCGTCGAGGCACAGCCTGTCTGCCAATCGACGAACGAATTACACGGTCAGCGCGAGCAGCGGGCTGCATACAGTGCAGGGGCTTCTCGTCTCTCTCTCTCTCTCTCTCTCTCCTCTCTCTCGTTTTGTGCATGCAGTTTCATGACATTACGCAGCTTGTCATGAGATTTTCATTACATGTCATTAAATTTTTCAAAAATATTTAAGCATGACTGATTTTTTTTGGATTTGTCCAGGATCTAAATTAAGCTTGGCCCTTTCGCTGTGTTGCAGATGTCGAGACAAAAGGTTCCATGGGAGCCACATGGCCCGGAGGCCCTAACGGCGGTGCTGAAATCCCGCCTCCACAAATGCCCGGACGAGTTTGATGAAGCGGCCGTGGATGCCTTGTGCTCCGCGGCCAAGCATACCTCGTTCCGGGCAACAGTGGAGCCGGGGTCAGCACCGTCAAGAGTAGGTTCTATCCAGAACGCATTCCGCCACCAGCTCAAAGAACGATTTATGACCGAACTACAGGTGAGTTTTTGACACTGCACATTCCGTACCGGAGAAACGAACATGCTGCATGTTGCGTGTGACATCGTGTTTCCCGACGCAGCCGCGGCGCGTTATTCTACCGGCGTCGTCGGGGTTTTTGACGCGCCGCTGGTGCAGGCCGAGCGAACGGTGCCTTTCGTCGCTCTGTCTCGCTCGCCGCGACGCACAGTGGGCCAGAAGACCGGTGGCGGCGGCCAAAACTCTAGACGCGTTTTGAGCTTCAGTCTGTTAATGGGACTCGAACCGAACGTGTGACCCCACCAATCGAATGCGACGGCACGCCCCGCGAGTGCGACAGGGCCGGGGCGAGTGGGCCTGCATTATTAGTCGAACTCTCTCTCTCTCTCTCGTCGTGTGCATGCAGTTTCATTACATTATGCAGCTTGTCATGAAATTTTCATTACACGTCATTAAATTTTTCAAAAATATTTAAGCATGACTGAATTTTTTTGGATTTGTCCAGGATCTAAACTGAGCTTGACCCTTTCGCGGTGTTGCAGATGTCGGGACAGGCTGTCCCATTCTCCCCGCACGGGCCAAAGGCCCTGCAATGAAAAACCAAACGTGGTCCTGACCACACCAGTGGTGCGGTCAGGACCACGTTTGGTTTTTCGGTGTGGAAGCCGTGCTGGCGGCGCGGCTGGAGCTCTGCCCGGAAGAGTGGGAGGCGGAGGCCGTGGAGGCAAAATGCTCCACGGCCAAGCATGCCTCCTCCCGAGAGACCACCGAGAAGGGATCAGCCAGAACAAGACTCAAGTCGTTACAACAGGCGTTTAGGAAGCAATTTGCAACAAGGTTAGGTTAGGTAAAGAAAGAAAAGGCAGCAAATTTTCAAAAGTCCTACCACAGAAATGTAGAGGGCAGCAGCAGCAATAAGAGAGGGCCGAACGTGGCAGAGAGAATACTCCATCATGGCAAGTTCAAGGAAGAACTTGGAAAATAAGTGATGAATGGGCTTGGCCTGCAGCAGAGAAGCAATGTAATTCGCAAGGTTTGCTTCAAGGTAAAACGATCAATATTATCATGAAAGATGTATACCTCCACAACTTTGCTAAACCGGCGAAGGAAGGTAAGAGAAATAGGACGACTGAATTGGAATTCCAAAGTCTTAACAATCCGAACCTCCATGGAAAGAAGTTTTTCCTTGTTGTAAGTTTCGAGGGCACTGAGGGTTGGGACGGCCTAACTTAACCAGCTGAAAGTACTTTTTGCGAATATGCCAGGCTTTAGCATCTTTGTAAAAAATTGGGTGAAACAGGACGAATAATGGACAATTGTGTAAAACTCACCTGAAGATACCTATCAAGTATTTGGACAGCAAGGTAAAGTGTCTCTTGTAACAAGCCGAATTCCAATTGGACCACCTACAAGCCAATCAACCAATACTGCTCGCATTCCAGGTGAAATAAATTGTTCACGCAAGAAGCCTTTTTTGATAGGATACTTCTCCTACAGACACAGGAAAAAATGTAAGTGACATATCTAAGAGCAAGAAAATATACAAAGAAGGGGAAAAAGTTACCTCTAGGGAGTACAGGTACTCATAGAATTCGAATACGTAGTCGGCAACAAACAATGGGTTGTTCTCATCTGCTTTGTCAACGTCCTCAATGAAATCTTCAGGCTGCACTGCAGCATCTTCCTCTGCAAACAGAATCCAGGTAATGACGGTTGGGGCAGGCAGTACAACCGATGCCACTGAGGTGTTACTGAACCAAATAGGTCGTCGAGTGCATGCAGTTTCATTACATTACGCAGCTTGTCATGAGATTTTCATTACATGTCATTAAATTTTTTCAAAAATAATTAAGCATGACTGATTTTTCTTGGATTTGTCCAGGATCTAAATTAAGCTTGGCCCTTTCGCGGTGTTGCAGATGGGAGAGGAAGTGCCTTATGCCCCGCACGGCCCGGCCGCCGTCAAGGCCGTGCTGAGAGAGCGCGCCACTCGCTGCCCGGAGTTGTGGGACGTGGATGCGGTTATGGAGGAATGCAAAAAGGCAAAGAATGCGTCATTCCACAGGACCGCTGAGGTTGGGGGCGCCAAAAGTCGCATTCGCAGTCACGGATTGGGTCTATACAAAAGGCTTTTCGAAACCGCTACAAGGGAATGTGCAAATTTCGCCTATGTTTGACCCTGACGGGATTTAAATCTGTCTCTCTCTCCTCTCTCTCTCTCTCTTCTCTCTCGTCGTGTGCATGCAGTTTCATTCCATGTCATTTAATTTTTCAAAAATATTTAAGCATGACTGAATTTTTTTGGATTTGTCCAGGATCTAAATTAAGCTTGGCCCTTTCGCTGTGTTGCAGATGTCCGGACGGGTACGGGTACCCTGGTCGCCCCACGGCCCAGCCGCCGTCCGGGCGGTGCTGGCGGCCCGGCTAAAGCAGTGCCCGGAGAAGTGGGATGCGGTAACCGTGGACACCATTTGCTCCTCGTTCCGGGCGACTGTGGAGGCCGGGTCGGCGCCGTCCAGGGTTGGCTCAATTCAAAAGGCGTTTAGAAACAAATTCAAAGGCCGCTTTACAACCACACTTCAGGCGCGTTTGGCTTGACAGTGCTCCGCAATGTGCCGTCAGATCCGAGAAACGCCAAGGGCTTGTCTTTGGCGGGGCGGGGCGGGGCGTGGCGGGGCGCGCATGGCAAAGGACTCCCGAAGGCTGTGTGGGTCTTCCTTCCCTCGCGTGCAGGCACTGCGAGGCACTGCGAGGCACTGCCCGTCGAGGCACAGCCTGTCTGCCAATCGACGAACGAATTACACAGTCAGCGCGAGCAGGCGAGCAGCGGGCTGCATACAGTGCAGGGGCTTCTCGTCTCTCTCTCTCTCTTTCTCTTCTCTCTTCGTGTGCATGCAGTTTCATTACATTACGCAGCTTGTCATGAGATTTTCATTACATGTCATTAAATTTTCAAAAATATTTAAGCATGACTGATTTTTTTGGATTTGTCCAGGATCTAAATTAAGCTTGGCCCTTTCGCTGTGTTGCAGATGTCGAGACAAAAGGTTCCGTGGGAGCCACATGGCCCGGAGGCCATAACGGCGGTGCTGAAATCCCGCCTCCACAAATGCCCGGACGAGTTTGATGCAGCGGCCGTGGATGCCTTGTGCTCCGCGGCCAAGCATCGCTCGTTCCGGGCAACAGTGGAGCCGGGCTCAGCACCGTCAAGACTGAAATCCATACAGAGCGCCTTCCGCGACCATCTCAAAGGACGATACAAGACCGAACTACAGGTGAGTTTTTGACACTGCACATTCCGAGGGGTGACCCACTGTAAAATTTTGTGTACAATGATTGTGTGAATGTGCAAGATTTCTGGCGTTATTGTCACACATGTTGCCTACTTACAGGCGTTTTACCCACCTGAATGTGGGAATGTGGTCAAATTTTGTACAATGAATGTGGGAAGCTGTTCCCCCCTCGGCACATTCCGTACCGGAGAAACGAACATGCTGCATGTTGCGTGTGACATCGTGTTTCCCGACGCAGCCGCGGC